GGCTCCCTTTCATGGTCGAATGAGTGTTGCCAGCTAAAACACGTAAAAATAATATTAAAGTAGCCAAGACATAGCCAAATATTGTAGCGCCACATCACTAGCGGACATTTGAAATTTGCCGACTAGGACGATCGGTTAACCGAGGTGTCGGTTAATCGGGGGTCGGATAATCGAGGCTCTACTGTATTTTAATGTTGTTAATCTGTTTTCTTCACTACAAAATTATCAAAGTTATGAATAACTTAACTTATACAGTATTTAAATTTTTTAATTATTGATTTAATGAGGTATTAATAATAAGAAAAGTGTTTTATATTAAAATATTAATTTAAACGTAACCAAGCATAAATAGCTTTATACGATAGATACTGAAGGAATGCTCTTACTTATAATAATTATATTTTCTGTAAAAAGTCACGATTATATTATTATAACCTTTACAAAAGAAAATAATTATTGAATCATTAATACTAAAAATAGGAATATTGTATTTATTCAGTTTCAGTTTTTATTTCGTAGCTTTCGTCAAATTCTTTCCATTATGATGATAACAACATCCTTATATTCAAAGAAAAACGAAACACTGTTTTGCATATCATTAAGCATTTCCGCTTAATTCTAAACTGAAAATTTCTACGATTTATATCGAATATTTCTTTATATTATCAGTTAGGAAATAACTTGTAATTTATTGACGCAGATATTACATTACAAGAATAAATTAGAGTTTAAATTTCGTTTTCAGTTCGGATTTCTGTTATGATCCCTGTTTGATTTCTATTTTCAGAGGGAGGGGAAAACAGAAACTGAGAACTTGTCCGAGTCGCGTGATTTTTATGTATACGTAGGACTTTATTTGAATAACAATAGTCAATTACTTGCTCAAAGATTTGATTAGGCGTCTAAACCAAGGGTCGCCAAACTTTTTTGATCATCGATCCCCTACAAGTTTTCGAAATCTCACATCGACCCCCACCATAAAGTTTATGTAACAAGCAAAACAAAATACTTACTATTTTAAAACATTTCTTTTAATTTTGCAATTTTTTTCATTTATTATATATTTGTTAATAATAATTTTTGTAACTGACAATCAGTGAGACGGATAAGCTTTATCCTTAGCTCTCCCTTATCCTTAGCTTAAGCTTGATAATCGACCCCCAATAATGTTATATCGACCACTTTGGAGACCCCTGGCTAAACCGAAGTGGCGAACCTATGGCACACGTACCAAAGTGGCTCGTCGGGATAAATAATCAAACACGTTACTTATAAGATTTCGGTTTATCACCTGTATTTTTCAATCATTATTTCGATTTATCACCTGACCATTCTCTTTCAATTATTTTCTATATATTTATTCTAATTAAAGCATATATTCGTTTTATTTCTTAAAATATCGTTATTCGAAGTCTAAAACTTCGACATGCGTAAACATTTTTAAAGATAAGTATGCTTACTTATGGCACACGGATTTAGAAAGGTTCGACACACATGATCTAGACCAGTGTTTCTCAACGGGGGTGATATCGCCCCCATGTGGGCGTTTTTCCATGTTGAGGGGGCGATTAGTAACAATTTATATTTTCTGGGCGAAAACAATTTTCTGGGCGATATAGTAAAATATTATATTAAGAATAATTAGATATTTTATTCGTTATATCGTACAATAATTAAACAAATAACATTATACTAGTCACTAGTCTATTCGATACAGTACGAATTTGGCGTTAGCCTTGTCCCTCGACATCGGAATTTTGTAGCGAAGGGGGCGATACTACTTAACGGTTTTATTGAAGGGGGCGATACTATGTTGAAGGGGGCGACGATTCGTTAGAGGTTGAGAAACACTGCTTTGAGAGTAAAATTTCATAAAAATATACAATATTTTCCTGAAATTTTATTTCATAAAACTTTAAAAATCGTTTAAAAATTTCTTGTATTAATTAAATTTTTAAAAATCTTTTTTTTTTCGTCGAACCTCATTTATTATAATACTTTTTCGGGGTAAAATTTCATTTAGTTTTTGATTTTTAATATATTTAAAATTTAATTTTTAATATTTATTCAATTTAATTTTATTATCATTTAAAAATTATCATATTTAAGATGATAATGATAATTGTTACTTTTGTAATTTTTTTTATTTAAATCACTTAAATTTACTTACAAAAAGCCATTTTTTACTTAAAATTAATTATTTTTTTTAATCTAAAAATCTTTATACTTCATCCATTTTTTAAAACTGAAATAACTTAATCTAACAATAATAATTAATTATATAATTGAATTTACACAGAGAAAAAAACATTTCTATATTTTTTTATGGTGATAGTTAATTGTTATAATCGTGAAAATGCATTTCATTCTAATTAAAAAATAAAATAAAATACGATTACTTTCCATTAACTAACAGCATTAAGTCATATATAACTTTAACTTGACAGCTTAGATTAACATTTTTTATTAACACAAATTCCATTATCATTCGTAAATATGATGAAAAATTTCACCAAAAACTTAAATATTATTTTAAAAAATTAATTTGATAATTTCGAAATTTGTAATTAATAGATGATTATTTGATCTACAGGATCATCACTTTATCATTGATGATGATGATATACTCTACAGACGAAAAGCATAAAAATTTAATTATCATCGTAAACAACAATAAGGCACGTTGTAAATGTAATTTATTACTTATATAAGTTTAAAAAATGATAATTATATATATAATTATCCTATTTTCTACTTCTTTAACAAACTAATTCCCCAATCTGTAGTATGTAACTCCCACAATCAACTTTTACTCGTCGGCTATAATTAAAGTAAGTAAAAGGAAAGATAATCGATAAAACGCGCCGTTCCTTTCTATTGGTCAGTAACACAGGATAACAACGCGCATGGGCATTAAAGCAGCATCTACTGTACCTTTTTTGGGGGTTGTTATTTTGGCGGTAGAACCGACTGATATACAGACGAACAACTCATTCGCCATATTTAAATGTTACCTTATCTTAAGCTTTACTTGATAATAAACCTATGTGTCACCTGATAGACAATAAGATATGATAATACACAATTTTACATATTGTGGTTCCTAAAATGGTTTATGCGATTCTATTCTTAGCGGTAAGTTCTCTTCTCTTTCCATACGTAAAAGGTAGATATAGCCGAATTTCTTGCATAATTTGCAAGGTGAAATTCAGTTGGGCAATGTTATTTTTATATTAAATAAAGTTCGTATGCAATACACGACACTCTTGTGTGTGCTTGCTGTACACGTAACAGTTTAAACATTGTCAAAATTCTTTGTGTAAAGTTAATTGAAATAGTTTATATTGTAACGTTACACCCATTTTAATTTATAAAATATTTTTGCAATTTCCTTTATTATATACAACTTTGCATTTTTGTTACATTGTTAAATGTAAGTACTCAATGACAAATCGGCACTAATTTTTTTTTTTTTGCATTTTAATTAAAATTTATATTAATTTTTAATGCATTTTTTAAACAAAATCTATTAAGTAAACGAATCTATAAAAGCACTTAAAATTAATATAAAAATTTTATACTTAATTTAACCAATTTTAATATAAAAAAATAATTAGAGCTCTTATTATATGATAAAAGTTAAAAATTAGCATTTAAGTGTATTGGAAATTGTGCAATTTTTAAAGTTTTTTTAGGAAAAATTTATCAGTTTTATAAAAATTCATTGCTTAAAATAATTAAGTGATTATAAAGAATAGTAACACGTGAATTGTACGCTTAAGAAATTGATTAATAAATTGTAAAATTTACATTGTTACGTACTGTACATGCAAAAAAATTGTACAGTACAGTACATTACATCAATTTTTCACTGATAAATAAAAGAAAATTGATTATTTTACAATTCATTGATTAAAACTAGAGATTTTTAAGTTTAAAACGTTAAATTAATTAAAAATGTGCAACACATTAATAATAATTTACAATTATCAGCATATATTGTTAGATATAATGATGGAAAAGATTAAAATAAATTAGGTGTATGTAATTATGCATTTCATCACTTCATTGACACATTAAATATATGCTAATTGCACATTACTATATTCACATCAAATAATTGATTATTATGCATATTTAAGTACAATTTACTTCCCTCGTGACTATAATACATCATTCTAACAATAGGAAGAGCATGCATCGTATGATTTTAACTGGATTTTCTTTATTTATAAATAGGGAAAAAATTAGATATAAAATATATAATTTTAATTAAAAATCGATCATGTTTTATTATTAAATTCTTTCCTTCGTAATAAAAATGTTTAAGATAATTTTATCAACAGTAGAGAAAATACGAATATAAAAAGATAAACAGGAGACGTTTCTGGAATTTTAACAAAATTCTATTATTAATAATTCATATAAAAGTGTATATAAATGTCCAATGTATTCAGTCAGAGTTTATATAAGTGTGTGTATATATATATATGACAGAAATTGAAGGAAAAAATGGCTTAAATGTAGCCTTCAATCTTTTTAAAAGACGGCAATGAATTATTTCTTCTAAGACAGGTGTTACTATAAAGATTGTATGATAGGTTTACTAAATAATTACAAGCTTAGCTGCATGGTTATCAATCAGGATTTAGCTACAATAACCAATTTCTGTAGATCCTTATCATTGTTACTCTATCAAAAGGAACGAATGTTTACTGAATAATTACATATCAGATATATATTTTTTCTAAATATATATTAATTAAGTTACGTTGGATTTATCGGATTTATAAAAAACGTAATAAACGACGCCACCTCTGCGCATTATAGTCCGATAATTACAATTTTACTGGCTTTATTATACATTTATTCGTATAAAATTTATTTAAATATTTATAAAACGTCAGAAACTTTATAAATATATTTTATTTTAGTTAAAAGTTTTAATTTATTTAAGTTATGTACATTGATAAGCTGTACAAACTTAAATACGGCGACTGTTATAACGATAATTAAATTATGTATATATAAAATAAATCTTTATCACGAGTAATCGAAAATTAAAATGTACAATTCTCTGTCTAATTAAATATTTAATATCCTTTTGTACATTTTGCTTGGCAACTGCCTTGTTTCTGGACTAACAAATCTAATGATTGGTCATAGGAAATTTATTTTAAAAATTAATTAAATGTTGTTATATTTGTTGGAAAATTAATATATTTTTTAAGATTCTTCTACTTCTTCTACACTTTTTTTTTTAAAGTTATTTTTACACAAGAACAAGCTGAGAAATAGAAAATAAACCTTATAAAGTTTTATTATTGATCATAAAATGTGTAAGGATATGCTTTCCAATCAACTAGAAATGACTTTTTTCCCTCTCTCTCTTACAAAATAACACGAAATTAATCTCATCTTTACTTATTTTTTATGATTTAAACGTTATAATTTTTATTAGTACATAAATATAAGAGAAATTTAATGATTCTTCTTACTTATTTATAAAAGAAACTCGTTTATTACCGAAATTATTAAGGAAAATAAAACAATTTCTATACCAAAATATTCATTATTCAACGTTACAAAAGTTTACTTGGAATAATTATTATAAATTAAAAATAAAATTATTTATGAAACTTAAAATATTAGACTTGTTTTTAATAATTAAAGTTATGAATAATATATATTTTATGCATGAAAAACTTTAATAAAACATTAAAAAAATTTAATATTTTTGTTAACAACTTACTGTATTTGATAATTTGTTGATTAAATTTAATTTTCTAGTGAGAAAAATAATTTTAAAGCGTAAATTTTCTAGTTTATTTTTAAAAGATTTTAATACATTTTAATGACAATTAGTAAATTTTATTTATTATTTAATAGAACAAAGAATTTCTTAAGATAATTGCTACGGATTTTTAATGAAAGTAATTACAGGACTAGATCATAAATGCCAAATTTTAATGAAAACAGAAATAGTTAATGCTTTAAAAGTTTGATAAATATTCAATAATATAATTGAATACTAAACTTTTCCTCAAAATAATCAAATTTCACGTTTAATAAAGAATTAATTACAAAAATATTCAATATTTCGAATGGAAGAAACGTTAACAAAACTTTACGCCATTTTTTAAATAAAATTATTAATATGTTCTGAATATTTAGATTAAATAATATTCAAAACACAACGAAACAACGAATTTCTTAGAATAAAACATAAAAATTAATAGAAAATTAATTATTGAATAGAATTCGTTATATTATTTTTTGTCACTAATTATAATGAAAAATAATAAAAATGTGTAAATATATCAATAATAATTTAAANTTCTACTTCTTCTACACTTTTTTTTTTAAAGTTATTTTTACACAAGAACAAGCTGAGAAATAGAAAATAAACCTTATAAAGTTTTATTATTGATCATAAAATGTGTAAGGATATGCTTTCCAATCAACTAGAAATGACTTTTTTCCCTCTCTCTCTTACAAAATAACACGAAATTAATCTCATCTTTACTTATTTTTTATGATTTAAACGTTATAATTTTTATTAGTACATAAATATAAGAGAAATTTAATGATTCTTCTTACTTATTTATAAAAGAAACTCGTTTATTATCGAAATTATTAAGGAAAATAAAACAATTTCTATACCAAAATATTCATTATTCAACGTTACAAAAGTTTACTTGGAATAATTATTATAAATTAAAAATAAAATTATTTATGAAACTTAAAATATTAGACTTGTTTTTAATAATTAAAGTTATGAATAATATATATTTTATGCATGAAAAACTTTAATAAAACATTAAAAAAATTTAATATTTTTGTTAACAACTTACTGTATTTGATAATTTGTTGATTAAATTTAATTTTCTAGTGAGAAAAATAATTTTAAAGCGTAAATTTTCTAGTTTATTTTTAAAAGATTTTAATACATTTTAATGACAATTAGTAAATTTTATTTATTATTTAATAGAACAAAGAATTTCTTAAGATAATTGCTACGGATTTTTAATGAAAGTAATTACAGGACTAGATCATAAATGCCAAATTTTAATGAAAACAGAAATAGTTAATGCTTTAAAAGTTTGATAAATATTCAATAATATAATTGAATACTAAACTTTTCCTCAAAATAATCAAATTTCACGTTTAATAAAGAATTAATTACAAAAATATTCAATATTTCGAATGGAAGAAACGTTAACAAAACTTTACGCCATTTTTTAAATAAAATTATTAATATGTTCTGAATATTTAGATTAAATAATATTCAAAACACAACGAAACAACGAATTTCTTAGAATAAAACATAAAAATTAATAGAAAATTAATTATTGAATAGAATTCGTTATATTATTTTTTGTCACTAATTATAATGAAAAATAATAAAAATGTGTAAATATATCAATAATAATTTAAAATATCATTTAAAGTAAAAAATATATATATAATAAACAATTAATTACGATTAAAATATTAGATTTTAAAGAAGATTAATAACTTTCGCGCTAATTTATTAAGAAAATTATTAATATATTTGAAATAATAACATTGAAAAATATTCAGAGCATAAAGAACCAGCGAATTTCTTAGAAGAAATGAAATAATTTTAGTAGAAAATAAATTATTGAATTTAATTCATTACACTAGTTTATGGCGGCGATAATAATGAAAAAAGTAATAAAAAATGAAAAAAATCCATGTCATGAAACTAAAATAGCCTTTAAAATAATTAAAATACCGAAAATTGGAGAAATTAAATGCGATAATTGTAGAGAAATTTAGTTTATTTGAGGATGTGCATTGGTGGAAATTGATTCTCCTACGTAAAGATTATGTTACAGGATTGTTAACGTTGTAAATTAATTTAGGAATAAATTATTCCTGCCTAACATACGTTAATTACGGATATAGTAAGCTAATTGATCTTACAATTAGCCAAAATATTTTGGAAATATTTTTTGAATTTGAAAAGACTTCGCGTGAAGAGTTTTCAACGCTAAACACGAGAAGCTAACTGAGTTTGAATAGATTTTCTATATGAATAGAAATAAGGATTATGAGATTAAAGGCGCTGTTTAAACATTATCTTGTACCTTTATTCCTTTTAAGTATTT